CTTCCTTCCCTGCTTTTCCTCTCCCTCTGCCCATTTATTTTCTCCACTCATCCTCTCTCTTTTGTTTCCACCTCCATCCTCTCTCCCTCACTTCTCCCTCTGTCCTCTTTTCCTGCTCAGTCTCTCGTTGTCCCCATCTCTATCCCCATCCCTGTCCTTCTGTCCCCAGCCCTGTCCCTGTGTCCTTGTCCCCGGGCGGTGCCGGGGAGCGCTGCAGTCCCCGCGGTGTCCCCTGGGGGGCGACACACGCCGCGCGGAGCCCCCGCCGGCAGGTGAGACCCGAGCGGCCCCGGGAACGGCCCGGGAATAACACCGGGAACGACACCGGGAACAGCCCGGGAATAACACCGGGAACGGTCCAGGAGCGACACCGGGAATAGCCCGGGAGCGACACCGGGAACGGCCCGGGAATAACACCGGGAACGGCCCAATAACGACACAGGGATCGGCTCAGGAACGGCCCCAGGAATAACACCGGGAACGGCCCGGGAATGGCCACGGAGCGGCCCCAGGAGCAGCCCGGGAACGCCACCGGGAACGGCCCCGGAGCGTCACCGGGAGCGGTCCTGGGAGCGGCCCCCGGGGTGCCCCGAGCGCTGCGAAAGCTCCGCTGCCGCTCCGGTAAAGGCTGCGAGAAGAAAAGCCGGCGGTTTAGCCGGAGAACCGGGAGACGGGAGCTCCGCGGGGGGAATCCCGCATTTCCAAGCTCTCCTCCTCGAAGGGGCTCCTATCCCCGAGTTCCCCCCCCGTATTTTTCATAATGCTGATTTTTTTCTTTTTTTTCTTCAAGCCATTCGAATTTTGGGCTTTTCCGAGCCCGCTGGTTCAGTCTCTGCTCGGTGCCCAGCTGCAGCAAGCAAAGAACTTTTGCTGCTTCTGGGGATTCTGTAGAAATTCAGCTCGGTAAAGTTTTCAGCCGAGGAGAGGTAAGATTCCATAATGGATATTTCTCCAGGCTTCTAGGAAGGGACAGCACGGGCACACCGCAGGAGTGGCTTTGCTCAAGCTCTGCATTTAAAATTTTCTGCATTTTATAAACTTATATCGTTAAAGAAATCCCGTGTGCTTGTGTACGCTAAGACGCAGCCCAAGTTGTTACGAGAAATGTGATTTATTTGAAAACCGAACATAAAAGTGTAAAGTCGTTCTCAAATTATTCCAGAAAGAAATAAAAGTTTTCTCTTATGGTCATACATTTACATGAAAAGTATCAACTTATCTAGCTGAATTCACTATTTGTTTTCCCAAATAAAATAACCCCGGACATGTACTTGGTGGACGAAACCCTCCCCGAACATTCAAAATTATTTCCGTCAAAATCAAATAACAATTTCGAAGCGCCCGAAGAAACTTCCAAATGAATTTTTCCATCGCAGATCATTTTTAACCATCCCTCCTTGTAGAGGAGCTGCCTCATAATTTAATTTTTTTCCCTCCCATCAGTTATCGCATAAAATCGTTTCCTTTCTTATTAAGAAAATCTCCGGTAATTAACAGCCCCGCCGGGTTCCCACGGCCGGAGCCGGCTGCGGTCTCGTCCTCACCGCCCCGGCTGCGAGCGGGAAAAGGGACTCTCGATCCCACAGCCAGCCAAAATCCCAGCCCGACTTTGGGGGAAAAAAAATATCTTTGTTTAAAGCCTTACGAAACCACACAAATTGCAAGGAGGGCAAGGCAAAATTACAGTGTAAGAAACCCAAAAATCACCGCTCAGGAATCGGAGCAGCAGCAGCCAGGCTCGGGGGAGGCGGCGGGAAGGAGCGCGGCCGAAGTGACAGCAAATTCATTTCGACCTTATCTCGCTCTTTTCGGGCTCGAATCGATTTTGCAGCGCTATTTTTGATTATAGTTATATTCTGATTTACTTTTTTTTTTTTTTTTTTTCCTGCGGAGCGGGGAAAATCGCTGGTTTCCCACCTCGGCTCCTTCGCCCTGCACATCCACGCTTCCCTCGGGTGGAACAGAACAATTCGCAGCAACACTTGAGTTTACACTTGGTCACCATGCGTCTCTAATTGTCCCACTCTGATTGCCTCTAATGAACTCATTAGGGAGAAGACAAAGGGGCGGATTTCACAGGCACAAGAAAATCCACCTCAACGCCCGGAACGAAAAGAAAAAAAAAATAGACCCTTAAATGCGCTGGTTTTTGTTGGTTCTGCTGGGTTTTTTCTATAATAATAAAATATCCCCGAACTCCCCCAAAGCGGCAGAGCTCTGAACCCGCAGCGACGGCGCCAGCGGGGCCGAGGCGCGGTATCCCCGCCAGCGGGGCGAGCACCCAGCGGCCTCTCCCGAGGAATTCCGCTGAAATATATTTTAAAAATATATTTAAAAACGGCAACGCAGGACCTGCCGGGCACAGTGACACCGGCGCCACCAGCGCGGTGTCACCTCTCCCACCGTCCCCGGCAGCAACCTGCCTGCAAAAATACGCTCAAAACCTCGGCTGTTAGGCGCGGGGCGGATAGCGGGCAGATCCCCCCGGCTGTTTTTTGGGGGCTGCTTTTTGGGGCCGAATGGTTCCAATCCCGTGCGGAGGGGGCTGGGGGTGCCCGGAGCCGGGCTCGGCTCGGCCCGGCCCGGCCCGGGAGCGCGCGGGGACCGCCCGCCAGCGCCGCCGCGTCCCGCGCTCCCATTGGCTGCGGCCGCGGCGCCGAGCGCTGCCATTGGCTGGCGGGCGCGGCGGGGGGCGGGGCCAGCGGGGAGTAAAAGCGCGGCGGCGGCGCGGGGCGAGTTTTGAAGCTGCGCAGCGCGGCCGGGAGGGAGCTCGGCGGCTCCCGCACCCCTCCGGGGGCTCCGGAACGTTTCGGGCCGTTGTTGTGACAAGGACTGGGTTTTCCGCAAGGCTGCTTTTTCTTCTTTTTATTTTTAATTTTTTTTTCATTTTTTTTTTTTTTTTTAATTCTTCGGTTTTGTTTTTGGTTTGCTTTTTTTTTTTCCTTTTTTTTTTTTAATTCCCTTTTTCCTGCGAGAAAAGCCCCCCCCTATCCCAGCCCGGCTGCCCGCAGCAGTGTTCGCCGCGGGCCGTAGGCGTGTGTACCAGAATCACAGTCATACAGAGGGAGGGAGAGGCCGCCAGAGACCACCCTGCCCCCGGCGACCCGGAGGATGCCGCTGCGGTGCCGCTGCTAGAGGACACGCTGGGATTTAGCTCGGCTCCGAGACTCTCTCTCTCTCTCTCTCCCGCTCTCTCCCTCTCTCCCTTCTCCGCGGAGGGGTCCCGGACGGGGGTGAGGCCCTTCCACCGTCCTCCTCTTCCTCCTCGCCTCCCCGGCCGCGGGAAGCCCCTCTCCATGATGCAGGCTCGCTACTCCGTCTCGGACCCCAACGCTTTGGGAGTGGTGCCGTATTTAAGCGAGCAGAACTACTACCGGGCTGCCGGGACGTACGGCGGCATGGGCAACCCCATGAGCGTCTATTCGGGCCACGCCGAGCAGTACGCGGCGGGCATGGGGCGCTCCTACGGCCCCTACCACCCGCACCAGCCCACCGCCCCCAAGGACCTGGTGAAGCCACCTTACAGCTACATCGCCCTCATCACCATGGCCATCCAGAACGCGCCCGACAAGAAGATCACTCTCAATGGGATTTACCAGTTCATCATGGACCGCTTCCCTTTCTACCGAGAGAACAAGCAGGGCTGGCAGAACAGCATCCGCCACAACCTCTCGCTCAACGAGTGCTTCGTCAAAGTGCCCCGCGACGACAAGAAGCCGGGCAAGGGCAGCTACTGGACCCTGGACCCCGACTCCTACAACATGTTCGAGAACGGCAGCTTCCTGCGCCGCCGGAGACGCTTCAAGAAGAAGGATGTCTCCAAAGAGAAAGAGGAGGCCCGGGAACGGCTGCTGAAGGAGCAGCCCAAGCCCCCCGGGCTGCCCGGCGCCGACCTCCCCAAGGAAGCCTCCTCCTCCTCTTCCTCTTCCTCCGCCTCGGCGCCGGCCTCCGAGAAGAAGGTGGTGATCAAGAGCGAGACGGCGTCTCCCGAGCTGCCCGTGATCACCAAGGTGGAGACGCTGAGCCCGGCCAGCGGCGGAGCCCTGCGGGACAGCCCCCGCAGCGCCGCCTCGCCCCCCGCCGCCGCCTCGCCGGACGCGTCCCTGCCCGAGCATCACCCCGCCGGTAACGGGCTGCCGGGCTTCAGCGTGGAGAGCATCATGACCCTGCGGACTTCCCCCGCGGGGGACCTGAGCCCGGTGAGTGCCGCCGCCTCGGGCAGGACGGGCGGCGGGCTAGCGCTGGGCTACCCCGCGGGGCAGCCGTCGGGCTACAGCGCGGCGTGCAGCCAGGCGCTGGACACTAGTGGGAGCTACCACTGCAGCATGCGGGCTATGAGCCTCTACAGCGGCGACAGGCCGGCCCACATGTGCGCTCCGCTGGAGGACGGGCTGGCCGAGCATCCCACCGGCGCCCCGTCGCCCCTGGGCACGCTGAGCTTGCCCGCCGGGCAGGACGGAGCGCTGGGCACCGGGCATCCCCACGGAGGAGGCGGTGGTGGCGGAGGGGCGGCGGGGGGACAGCCGGCGGCTTCTTGGTACCTCAACCACGGCGCTGAGCTGAGCCACCTGCCCGGGCACACCTTCGGCTCTCAGCAGCAGACTTTTCCCAACGTGCGGGAAATGTTCACGTCGCACCGGCTGGGGATGGAGAGCGCGGCGCTGAGCGAGCACCAGGTGAGCAGCAACTCCGCCTGTCAGATCCCCTACAGATCCGCGCCCTCCCTATATCGCCACGCCGCCCCCTACTCCTACGACTGCACTAAGTACTGAGTAGCCGCCATCCCCCCGTTTAGGCCCGTTAAAAAAAAAAAAAAAATTATTAGTAGTAATAATTATTAAAAAAAAAGATCGTGAGAAATAAACCCACACCAATAAAAATACATCCAAGCTGCCCCGTGGTGGACGTTGCGGCCACAATTTTGAAGTTGGAAGTTTTCACTTCAAAGCGAAATTCGTAAGTTTGAAGAGCCTAAAAAACCCCTTTTATGGGCCTCCTTAAATTCCGGACAAGTATATTTTACTTGAAAAAAGGGGGATGTCTCATTTGAAAAAGAAAAAAAAAACATTAAAAAAAGAAAGAAAATAAAAAGGTTAAAAAAATTATATATATATATGTCTATCTAAAAGTGGCAAATTTTATATGCTAAAGTATAGGGGGTTTCAGAAAAATAAGTTATGGACCAATATCACAACGACCATTTATACGTTTTAAAAGGAAAAAAAAATTTATAAATATATATATAAATATATGTCCTGGGTATTTTTTGAGTTCTCTGTTGTGCTGTAAAAAATATGTGGATTTCTAATCAGGCTGATTTTCAGAGCCATTAATATAATATTTAAAGTTGAGTTCACTGGATTATTTTTGTCTCGCCCAACGGTTCCTAACTTCCAAATTAATGACAAGTGATTTCTTCTTCTTCTGTGTACAATTATGCAATAGATTTTCTTTCGTTTTAGAGCTGTTCTTTTCGCAAGACGAGGAAATAATTTATTTTTTGCTGGTGGATTTTTTTTTTTAAGGGAAAAAAATAGACAAAGTATCTGATACTTTTTTATTATTATTTACGACGTGTGATGTTTTGTATAATAGATTTCACCTTTACCATTCCTAAGGACTATTTGCTTTAACCTGCTTCAAAGTTCGTTTGTCTTATGTGGTCCTAATTGTTGTACTTACCTTAAAATAAATCCATGCTGGTTTTTTTCTGCTCCAAGTCTTCTCTGTGTCTAATCTGGGGGTTTTTTACAGATTTTTTTTTTTTTCCTCTCCCTTCACCTTTCCTTCACGCCCAAAACGTGGCAGAGGTTGTTTTTAAAACAAAGTGGTTTTCCTGAGGGTTTCTTTCTTGGAGAAAAAGTTAAATTCACGTGAAGAGCTGGAATTGTACAACTGGGGAGGGGAAGAAAGAAAAACACCGCGGGGCTGAGCCCCTTCAATCCCGAATCCCTAAAATTTCAGGAGTTTTCCCAGGCCTCTGATGAGGAAAAAGAGGGGAAAATACCAGGAGGAGCAGGGAGGGGAATTTCTGCTCCTCTCGGCCCGGCCAAGCGCGGCCCTTGCACGGGGCTCGGTGTCTCCGCGCCCGGAGTCGCCTCTTTCTAAAAAACAACCCCCCCCCCCCCAAAAAAAAAATCCATTTTATTTATTTATTTGGTTTTCTTGAAAGGGATCCCGATAGCCTGGGAGTGAGAACGATCATTTCAACCCGGCCTCGCTGCGGAGTCTTAGGAAGGTGGAAAGTTCACTCGAGAATCATTTCAGTTGTGGAATCCTCTCTTGTTTGAAGAATTGGCTGATTTTAATTTTCTCTTCATCTGTTTAAGCTCCTGTTCTCAAGGCCGGGCACTGCCAGATATTCTGGCTTTTCCCAAATCATCTTTTAACCTGTTCAAACGGCTTTAATCCAGGGCAAGACGCTGGATTTAACAATCCTGAAAGCCTGGGAATGCCGGCAAAGCCTAAAGCAGAGTTTAGGAGGTTTTTGGAACTTTGCAAACCCAGCTGTCCGGAGCCAGGCTCCTTTCCCAGCTGTAAAATCACATCAACCCAGCATTTCCAGGGGATAAATCCCAACCGTGCCCCCATCCCACCTCTCGCAGCCCCCCAGTACTCCTCAAACCCCTTTTTTTTTGGGTTCGGGAGGGGTTATACCCACGTCAGGCTGTTGAAATCGATGATCTAAATTGGTTTTGACCGGTTAAATTTCGCCTGCGCTTGAAAGCTGGCAAAAAGCACTGAAAGTCTCGATTTAAATGAGAAAAAAATGTCTGAGCCTCACTTGATCTGTATTTTAAGGAACATTCTTGTAAAAAAAAAAAAAACAAAAACCTCCCTGCCGTTTTTCCTGGCTTTCAGAGGGTGCTTTTTATTTGATTTTATATTTTATTCTTTTCTTATTTTTTTTTTCATGAAATAAAAGTCAAAGTGCAGTCTTACTAAGAGAAAATACAGAGTTTTAAAAAAGCAAAAAATAGGGAAATGAAGGGAGTAAAATGGTGAAAAAGAAAATGAATAGAGGGAAAAGAGGGGGGGTGAAATACGAATTGGGAAAGAATTATTCCCCAGCCCAGGCCTTCTTCCCGTGGGATTTTTTGTTCCTGCGTGGATCCCGGGGCCGCTGTGGGGGGAGATGACTGAAGTCAGGTGCCTGCTCTGGGTTTTCCCACACGCGCCGAGAAATCCCGGGATCGCCGCTGCTCCCACATCTTCCCAGCAGGGCTCCCGGGGACCCTTTTCCTCAGGCAGGGATGGGATGCGGTTCCGGGATTCGGGACACCCCCAGGGCTCTGCATCCTCCCCTCTCGCTGCTGCTGGACAGTTCCTGGGATCCCCTTTCCCCCCCCCCAAAACTCATTTTTGGTGTTTCTGGCCGCACCTCGCCCTGGCAGGACGCTCTGCGCCGCTCCCGTCCCCTCGGGAGAGCTCCTGCGGGGGCTGCGAGCATCGTCCCCCTGCTGTGTCCCGTCCTGTCCTTGGCCCCGGTCACCCCCAGCACCCCACGGGGAGCTTTTTGGGGTGGGCTGGTATCGCAGGAGAGCATTTTGGGGTGGGCTGGTGCCGTCGAGGATCCCTTTAGGGTAGGCTGATATCGCAGGGGAGCCCTTTAGGGTGGGCTGGTGTCGCAGGGGAGCCCTTTGGGGTGGGCTGGTGTCGCAGGGGAGGCGAGTGCCCCTTGCGGGACGCGGGGATCCTTTAGGGACTCTTTAGAAGCTGCGACAGGGAGCTCGATACCGCGATCCGAGTCTGTCGCGACAGGTGACTCCAGTCTAGCCGGAGCAGAGGGGAAGGAAGGAAGAAGTGAAGGAAGGAGGAAGGCCCAGGGTAACTTTTGAAGGCAGCCATGACCAGATTTGGCTCCGCAGCCCCTCGAAGGAGCGGCATAAACCCCCATAGCTCCTCTCCCCGCAGGTCAGCGGGGCCAGGCTTGGCCCCGGGGACTGGCTGATGCTGCTGCGTGGCCAGTGGCCCCGGGCTGGGGCTCAGGGAAGAGGTTGAGGATGGTGGGTGCGTTTCTTTTTTTTTTTTTTTTTTCTTGCATTGCCATTCATCACAGGGTTTGCAAACCTGTCCAAAACTCCGGACAGTTTCGGTCTTGGGGTGAAAAGCCAGCGGTTTTCCATCTCGTCCTCGTAGCCCAGTCAAGGGAGCGTTTCCCTGGTGCTCCGGGTGAAACAGATTCCCTTCAGGATCTCCCCAGGCCTCCGCAGAGCCCATCACGAGCTGTCTCATCCCTCCCGATCAATCCCACCTTCCTCAGAGCTCGTGGGAAGGCGCCAGCCGAGAGATTTTTGGGGAAGGCCACGACCTCTTCTGTCATTTTGGAAGGAACTTTGCAGAAAATCCATACCCGACTCTGGAAAGCCTTGAGAGAAGGAAATGCATCCCTGATCCCGGGGCTGTACCGAGGAACCGCATCTGTGCAGCTCCGTGCTCGGCCAGGGGCGAGGGGCGGCCAGCTCGGCCGGGAGATCATTCCTGAGGGAGCCCAGGCCGGGATGCAGCAGGAATGGGGAGCACTGGTTTTTCCCCTGTTCCCCACATCCCAGGGTGCTGCAGGAATGGGGAGCTCTGATTCACATTCCCGCTCCCCACCAGGCCGGGATGCAGCAGGAATGGGGAGCACTGGTTTTTCCCCCCGTTCCTCACATCCCGGGGTGCTGCAGGAATGGGGAGCTCTGATTTACACCCCTTCTTGCTCCCAAGATTGGGATGCAGAAGGAGTGGGGAACTCTGATTTTTGCCCTGCTCTCCCCATCCCGGGATGCAGCAGGAATGGGGAGCACTGATTTACACCCCTCCTTCCCCATTTCCCGGGATGGATCGGGAATGGGGAGTTCTGCTTCACACCCCTTCTTCCCCCCAACACTGGGATGCTGCAGGAATGGGGAGCTCTGATTTACATCCTGCTCCCCCCATCCCGGGATGCAGCAGGAATGGGGAGCTCTGATTTACAGTCTCGCTCTCCTCCATCCCGGGATACAGCAGAAGTGGGAATCTCTGATTTACAACCCTGCTCCCCTCCATCCTCGGGTGCAGCAGGATTGGGGAGCACAGATTTCCACCCCTTCTTCCCCCGGGATGCAGGAGGAATGGGGAGAGCTCATTTGCGCCCCGCTCCCGCCGGGGTCTCCGTGCGGGTCCTCTCCTCTCTGCTGCTTTAAAAGGGGCTCGTCAGCTGGAGAGGAGGGGAAACCCATCCAGGAGCGCTTCCATCGCCGGCTCCGCGCTGTTTGTTTGTTTTTGTTTTTTTTTCCCGTTTAGGGAAAGAGCGACGGTACCGAGAACATCAACAAGAATCCCCCCTCTGTCGCTTCCCTGGCCCCCCCGCAGCCGTCGGAGCCTCTCGGAGGCTGATCCCGTGCGGATAACGCTGCTAAAGAGCTCCAGCGATGCCGCCGGCAGCAAAGGGATAACAGGGATAACACGCAGCACATGAGCTGGGAAGAAGGAACGGAGAGAAAAGCCGCATCCCCGCCTCCAAGGATTTCCCACCGCCAAGAGGGGAAAACAAGGGAGGAAGCAAGAATTTTACTGGGGGAGGGAGCTCAGGGAGAGAGCGGGAGCCCGTGTGACCGTCTCCTGCCGTACACGCGAGTATTTATTATTTTACTAATCCGTGCCTGGAGTGTCTCAAGGAGCGGGGGACTCCCCGAGGTGGGGAGAGGAGGAGGGTGAGGGGGGGAAGACCCTCGGCCGGCTGCTCTGAGGATGCGCCGGGCGGCTCAGAGCAGCCGCGCTCTGCTCCATCCCTCCTCGGTGAGGATGCTCCAGAGGCGGGGAGGCTGCCTGGGCGCGCTGCTCCCCAGTGTCGAGAGGTGGGAAGCCCCCAAATCCCTCCTTTCACCTCTCTTTTTATTTATTTGGGGTTTTATTGCGCTTATGGCACGGAGGGCGGGTGCTGCAGCTCCCGGGGGTGCGCAGGGTGCGGGAGGGATGCGGAATTACGGGCGAGGGCGGTGTTAGAGGGGTGAGATCCCCTCCCACGCGTGGGACCAGCCAGTGAGAGGGGAGACCCCCACACCCCCGCCCGAGAAGCCGCCTCCCTGCGCACCCCGGCTGCGTTTCCCAGGCTCTCCTGGCGGTTCGCAGCTTTCAGGACCCATCCGGAGCTCCACAGCATCGCGCTGGGTTTTACCCCGGGATGAAAATGCTTCTCCCGACAGGGGAGCCACACTAGGCGAGAAACCCCAGGGGTGAAGGGGAACTTGCAGGGAAATTCGGGGATGGGGAGGTGGAGGCATCGCCAGGGCCGAGTGGTGCTGGGGGACACCCCGGAGCTCGGCTTTTACCTCTTCCCCTGCCAGGTAAATATCCCGACAGGCTCGTGGGAGCTGCGCTGTTGGAATAGTTCTCCTTGAAGGAGAAAGGATCCCCCTCGGGCCTCTTCTTCCCTCCCTCGGAGAAAAGATGCTCCACAGAACAGGGGGTGCCGCAGGTCTAAACCCGCCGGGGGACTGGGGACACAGGCGACACCTCCAACTGCCTCGGAATCCCTCGGGGCCTCGGATTAAAGCTGTTACGTCAGTAAATTAAAAAAACAAAATAAATCCGACAACAGAAAACATAGCCCCAAACCTGGACGTTTATACAGAAAAAGAGCATCACAAATTCCTAATGTAAGCACCGGCCAGCTGTGTGCACTTGTAAAGTTGTTATAATCCCCCTCCTTGTTATAAACAGGAAAGTACATAATATAAAGCAACAGGCCCGCATTCACAAATACTGACCCTCCTCCCCGGGCCTGCCAAATTCCCCTTTTGCTGCAGTCTCCCCCGGCGCAGCTCTGCCTGCTCGGGCTGGGAGCGGGGCCGGGCCGGGGGTCCCCCTTCCCCCGTTCCCAGGGGTCTCCTCGGGATGGAAAACCGGGTCCCTGCACCGGGAGGTGCAAAGGACGCCTCCACACCTGAGCCCCCCTTCCCTATTCCTTCCTCGCCATCGCAGCTCTGCCTCCTCCCCTCACCCACCCCTTTCTCTTGCTTTCTTCAATTTTTATTTTTTTTAAATTTTGGTGTTATTTAATGCCCCAGTTTTGCTGCGGGGATCCCTGCCCGCTGCTCCCCAGCTCCAGCAGTGTACATCCTGCTCTGCTGTGTGTGCTTACAGCGTCAAAGGGTGGACGTGATATTTCAAACATCAGATCAGTGCGTTTATATATTGGGTGCCCGGAAATTTTTCCAAATAAACACAGCTTGATTCGACTTGGGTGGGCAGACTTATCAACAGACTAATTCTATAAACAAATGAAGGAATAACCCGGAGACCATTGGCTGGTACCAGCGAGACACGTGGAGAGAGCTCGGAGTTTTGTAGCAATGAAATTTTAATTAATGTGGGTGGGCTGAGAACACAAACGACTGTTTATCAGAGACAATTTATTTTCCAGCGCTAAGTCAACATATAATAGCAAACTTACAACAATTATTTAACTTTTTTTTTTTCCTCCTTTTTTTTTCTTTTTTTTTTTTTTTTTTTTTTTTAAGAGCTATGAAGCGGGGACAGAGGCAGAGCGAGCTCCTTCAGGCAGGGCTGGGAGCTGAGCTCGCACAAACAGCTCCCCGGTGGACTCGTCCCACGTTGCTGCCCTGCCCCGTCCCTTCGCTCGGCTCCGAGGGGGAAGACGCGGAGCTGCGAGCCCGCCGGCGATGAGCCACATCTACGGTAGCCACCTCTCCCCCCTGGCTAGCCCGTCCATGGTTTACCTGCCGGCCGCGCTCGGCTTCGCCCCCGGGGGGGCGATGTCCAGGCAGGACCCCCCGCAGAAACCCCCCTACAGCTACATCGCCCTCATCGCCATGGCCATCAAGGAAGCTCCGGAGCAGAAGGTGACCCTCAGCGGCATCTACCAGTTCATCATGGACCGCTTCCCCTTCTACCACGACAACAAGCAGGGCTGGCAGAACAGCATCCGCCACAACCTCTCGCTCAACGACTGCTTCGTCAAAGTGCCCCGCGAGAAGGGGCGGCCCGGCAAGGGCAGCTACTGGACCCTGGACCCGCGGTGCCTGGACATGTTCGAGAACGGCAACTACCGCCGCAGGAAGAGGAAGCCCAAAGCCGCGGGCCCCCCGGACGCCAAAGGTGGCGAGCAGCCGGGGCCGCCCGCTCGCCCCGTCGAGCCCAAGCGAGCCAAGGGCAGCGCGGCCACAGCGCCGGGGGACGCGGGGGTGGCGCGGCCGGGCGGGGGGACAGCGGCTTGTCCCGGGGGGCCACCCCCTGCCGCAGCCCCGCCGCTCAAGAGCGGCTCCCGGGGCCGTAGCTTCAGCATCGAGAGCATCCTGGCGCAGGGGCTGCGGCCGCCGCCCCCCGGGGCAGCCCCCAAGGTAGCCCGGGACAGCCCCGCCGCTTGCCTCGGCGGCTCCCTGGTAGCCAGCGGCGGCTTCGGGCCGGCCCTCAACGCGTCCCTTATGCTCGACTCCCAGGTGCACGGGAGGCTTTACCACATCGGCATCCCCTTCCTCTCCTGCTTCCCTCTGCACTTCTCCGAGGCGGTGTTTAATTTCCAGTAGTTGCCCCACAATTAACGCGCTGCTCCGGGGGGCGCGATGGGGAGGGAGAGAGATCGGACTCAGACCTCACCACGCGGGGAAAGACCTAAAAAAAACCCCCCCAAAAAACAACCCCCAAAGCGATGTTTTAAAGGTGACTCAGGATTTCAGGGCATTTTCAAGGCGCGTCTTGCTGCGGACTCTCTTTAGCGGGTGCCTCCCGCCCCCTGCCAGAGCGACTTTGGAAGGTAAAGTTTTGTTTTCCCGTGGGCGGTGGAGGTTCAGGCAGCACCGGGGGAATGCCCACGCTGGCCCCCAAGCCCCGTGGGGTTTGCTCTGCACCTTTAGTCTTTGCATCCCTCAGGTTCCTCAGACCAGGTTTCTCTCGAGCCCTTCAGGTTTCTGTTTTCTTCTTTTATTTGTCCTTTGAAAACCGAGCCCCATCCCGGGGGGAGGTGGCTGAGTTTTGTTTTGCCATCAATACCCACAGGTATTAATAATGCCCATAATTTCGCCATGAATAGCCACAGGCACATAATAATTCCTGATATTCCCCACTGGCCCAGTCCTCCCAGTGGGTAACTGGAGCTGGACTCGTGGCAGACCAAGCAATCCAGGCTCATCCTGAATATTCCCTGCTTGCTTTGATCCAGCATGGTGTGGAACTGGTTTCCTGCCCAGCACTGGTACTTTGGAGTATCCCCACAAAATTTCTGCTCACGGATGTGGCCAAAAAGAGGGGGATGGATGAGCAAACACCGAAATTTGTCTGCTTTCCATGTCTTACTGGGATCTTCTGATCAAAAAAAAGTCTGAAGCAGGATTGTGGAGCCCGGGACAAATACCAGGAAAAAAAAAAAAAGAGAGAGACATCAGCTATGTTTCTAAAGTTTTTGTTTTTTGTTTCTTTTTTTTTGTAAAGAAGAAAGAATCCTGACACATTGCAAGAAATCAGGAATATTTTGTATTTTTGTTTGCCGTAAATAGAGGCTTTTTGTATATTAGTAGATAAATGCCCTTTTGGAAAAAAAAATTATATTCTCAATTTTCATTATGAAACCAAACCTATATCCAATAAAGGTATTTTTGTTCAGGAGTGTGGCTGGTGTGATGTGAAACACCCCTTGGCTTGTGCTGGAGGATGGAGGAATGGGGCCTGCAAATATCCTGGTGCTGACATGATGGGCCACAAAAAGATGGGAGAGGCTACAAATAGGCTTCTGGGAAATTACCTGTTCCTTGAAAGTGATGAAATCTTTCCCAAAATGATTGTTCCTCCTTCTCTTCCCCTTCTTTCATCCCATCCCATCCCAAAAGCAAAGCTTGCTCTTAAATGAGCACCTGGATATTGGAAATGTGGGGTTTTCAGGTGAGTTTTGATTCCGTTTTTGCAGAGGAAGGTTGGCATCAATTCCTTGATATTTGGACCAGGGTTGCTCATTCCAGCTCAAGGCAAAGAGCTCTCACATGGGGAAGGACAGAAAATCACCAAAAGGTGAGAATTGTTATTTAGCTTCCCCCCGAAAAAGGATGCTCTTAGGCAGATCCCTGCATAGGCTGAGCTGGATCTTCTCAATGCAAAAAGAAAGAATAATAAAAAAAGAGATTTTATTTTTGAAAAACAGATTTGCAAAATAGACTTTATTTTAATAAAATCCCTTATTTGCTTCCTATTTCTGACAGCTGCCGTTTGAATATCTATTGAGTCCATAAATTAAAGTTCTGGCACTGAGTTAGAAAATGAAGAAACACTTGTAAAAAGTTGTGAAGGTGTCACTGCTCAGTCCCCACCGTAATTCCCAGGGCTGGGTGAGTGCTGAGAGGGTTAAATCTCCCTGGCCCTGCAGTGCCACTCCTGTGTGGCATTAGGGACAGCTACAGCAGGAGCCAGGAGGTTCCATTGCAGGCTGGGCACTGACATCACCGCCCTGTTTGGGGTCTGGGAGGTGACATCACCCACAGGAAGCTGCAGGGGGAGGAAAATGAGCCCAGCAGAGAGCTCAGCTCCTCTCTCCACCCCCGGTGTGCAGATTTGGGCTCAGGGCGAGGTGGGAGGTTGGTGCTGCCTCCCAGGATTTGTTTGATGGATCTCCCCCAAGCCCTTCCCCCAGGGAGGGATCCTGCATCCCCAGTGTCCCCACAGCCCGGCCCATGGAAAGGTTTTATCCCCCAAAATTAGATATTTATGCTCTCACTCATCACATTGAACCTGTGTCTTCAGCTCCTCTGTTTCCCTTTCTCCTAACTTGGACTCCCAGTTGTGACCCCCAGTTTTGTCACCTCTCAGCTCCTTTTCCAGCCCCCAAAACACCTTTGAGGACCTGCAAACAGAGCTTTTATTCCTTTCCTACTCACACATGCAGAACCTCTCCATGTCCAAGCCCTTTCTGCACAAGAGCAGTTTTTTAGTGGTCAAAAAAAAGAGTGAGTTTTAGTTTAATACACAACGTATATTTTTATCACAGACATTTTTTTTTTTTTTTTGGAAACCCAGCTTTTTCTATGCAACGGGAATTTGTTTCTTTGCGAAGTTTTGCTTTGACATTTGATCTTATTTCTGTTTTGGTGGAGTGGAGTGAGACCAAGTACAGCTGCAGCGTTTAAAAGCCGCATTGAGCTTGATTTTGGTTTCGCTTGAGGGAGTGAAATTAGTAAACTTAACATGCTTTGCACAAAAGTGACACTAACTCCAATGAGCTCAGAACCCGGTGAGCAGTTCTGAGGGGCAATTTGGAATTAATTGGGATCAGGCCAGCGCTGTAACAGGGGATGAATACCAAGAAAAAGGGTCTTATTGCCAGCAGGCTGGATGAGTAACCACACACGGCTTTTGCACGTCATCTGTTTATAGAGAGGGGAGAAGTCATGGTACAATAAAAACATATAATAAAAACATACAGTAAAAGCATAAAATAAAAACACACAGTGAAAACAACAGCAGAGCAACGAGTGTGCAGTCAACACACCAATTCCTGGCTTTTGGATGGGGCTGAGCATCCTTCAATCCTCTCCACATCCGCGTGAGTTTTGGTGCCACGGAAACATCAAGGACCTGACAAGCTGCAAGGAATCGGTGCCAATGGTTTCACACCTGCTTCACAAGCCAAAAATGCGGCTGCCAGGCACAGAACTGCCACCCAGCACTTCACTCATCCCTGGAATCTTCCTCCTCCTCCTGGTTTTCCCAGCCTCTCAGGGCTGGCTATAAACATCAGTCTGGAATACTGGGGAGAAGTGGAGAAAATAGCCCGGGATGCAGAATAAACAGCACACTGCCTGTGTGGGCGATGGAGATGCCTTCCCCTTCCTCTGCAGAGGAATGACCTCTCCCAACCCAGCAAGGTTTCCCATCTCCCACAGTGGGAGAGGCTCACAGAAGAATTGTTTGGTTCCCAGAGCAGCTTTGCTCCAAACGCCAGTTTCCTACGAGGGGAACTGAAAATTGGGCATATTAAAATAATTCCGGAGTTTCATTTCTCATAAATGGGGCTTCCAGTCTTTAAATAGGCTCAGTGTGTGTTCTCCTAAAGTTGGTCCCAGAGCAGGTATAAAATATAATCAAGTATTTCTGCATGAGCAGAAGCCACTTGCAGGATTTGTCACTCAAGGTGTGGCTGTCCATGCCTGATTCCAAGGTGCCATAAATCTGAGGGACTTTGTAGCCTCTTCTCCTTCCCCCATTCCATTTTAAAAATTAATTCTCTTTCCCTTCTTTACCACAGAAAACACATAAAGGAGGGACCATCCCTTTCCACACCAAAACCCTCTGGCTTCCTTCTCACTGCTCCTGGTGTGAGGAGCAGCCAATTCCTGTAGCAAAAAAGGGAAGAAGGATCTGCTTCCTCACTTGATTCATAGCCCCACACACCCAGAGAAGAGATCTCCCAGGAGACAGCGTTCAGGATATTAAACAGATCACATATTTGATTTGAAGTGAAAGACCAAGAGGACAAGATCACAGAATGAGAGAAGTTACAGATGGAAAAGGTCTATGAGGTTATGCAATCCATCAGTCTGGACGTTGCATAATTGCTCCCCACAGTATATTTTTAGTGCTTTATCCAGACAAATCATTAAGTGCTTTAAAATGGGCCAGATTCCTCAAATGCAGTGCGTGCTAAGTCACAGCTGATTTCACTGAGCCTCGCAGCTCCAGCATCTAACAAGACACCAAAAGGAAATTTTTGTGTGGTCAGAGAGAACAGAACGGGCCCTTCCAGAAATAATCCAGGCCTGATTCGCCATCCCTCATAGGAATCTCTCCTAAATTGGCTGAATTAGGCCTCTAAAATCTCATTTTCGGATTATAGCGAATAATACATTATTACTTATTCAGATGTTCTCCTAGGCCAAAGTCAAACATTGCTCATGTTCATGCGAACACAATTTGTTTTAAGCCAGCTTCAAAGCCGGCTCAGCAAAGCGTAAAGAATGTTTATTTAAAATATAGTTGCTAAATTTAGCATGAGCTCGGTTAGCCTAAATCTTAGCGACATTTTTAGAGAGCACATTGCGGATCAGGAATGCATGGAGAAATAAATAAACTTTCCCACATTTTTGGAAATGGAGGGAGAATTTGCGAGCTCTTTTCTCGCACGGGCGATTTCCGTGGATTGGAAAGAGTCGTGGAGGATGCAAATTTCCCACTGAGCAGACAGTTGGAAATGCACAGTGCTGATCATTTTCACTGCAGTTTCGTTTCAAATAATGCTCCCTCAAGGAGGAAACAAAAGCTGTCAGCTTTTTTTTTTTTTTTTTTTTTTTTAATAGAAATTACGCAGAGCACCAACATGTTTCAATATTTACCCAAGCTCTTTGCGAAGCACCGAGAAGCAAATGGAGCTGGGCTTGGCCACGAGCCACATCCAGAGGAAATCTCAGGTTTGGATTAGGCCTCCTGACCTTTCCTGGTAATTCTGATACTGGATTTTACACCCACTTCTTTCACATTGGTTCAAACATCCTCCAGCTGGATCTTGGGCTGGGTGAAATGCCAGCCTGCCTCTGGGTTAGGCATTTAGACAGAAAATATTTCTGATTTTCCTTTTCACCTTCCTAAGCTTCCACAGCTTAAAGAGGCACATCTGGGTCAGCTTTGCCTCAAGTGACATTGTCT